CTTCAGTAATGTAGCAGGATACAAGATTAACTAAAAAAAAAAAAACCCAGTAGCCCTCATATATACAGATGATAAACAGGCTGACAGGCTGAGAAAGAAATCAGAGAAACATCACCTTTTACAGTAGCCACAAATAACATAAAATATCTTGGGGTAACTCTAACCAAACAAGTGAAAGATCTGTATGACAGGAGTTTTAAGTCTTTAAAGAAAGAAATTAATGAAGATACCAGAAAATGGAAAGATCTTCCACGCTCTTGGATAGGTAGGATCAACATAGTAAAAATGGCAATCCTACCAAAAGCAATCTACAGATTCAATGCAATCTCCATCAAAATCTCAGCACAATTCTTCACAGACCTTAAAAGAACAATACTCAACTTCATCTGGAAAAACAAAAAAAACCAGGATAGCCAAAATAACCCTGTACAATAAAGGATCATCTGGGGCATCACCATCCCAGACTTCAAGCTCTATTATAAAGCTATAGTAATGAAAACAACTTGGTAATGGCATAAAAACAGACAGGTGGATCAATGGAATCGAATCAAAGACCCTGATATCAACCCACACACCTATGAAGAACTATTTTTTTTTTACAAAGAAGATAAAAATATAAAATGGAAAAAAGAAAGCATCTTCAACAAATGGCACTGACATAACTGGATGTTGACATGTAGAATACAAATAGATCCATATCTATCACCATGCACAAAACTCAAGTCGAAATGGATCAAAGACCTCAACATAAATCCATCTACACTGAACATCATAGAGAGAAAGTGGAAAATACATTTGAATGCATGGGCACAGGAGACCACTTTCTAACTAGAACACTAGGAGCACAGACTCTGAGAGCAACAGTTAATAAATGGGACCTCCTGAAACTAAAAAACTTCTGTAAAGCAAAAAACATGGTCAACAAGACAAAATGGCTCCCTACAGAATGGGAAAAGGCCGGGCGTTGGTGGCGCACGCCTTTAATCTCAGCACTTGGGAGGCAGAGACAGGCGGATCTCTCTGAGTTCGAGGCCAGCCTGGTCTACAAGAGCTAGTTCCAGGACAGCCTCCAAAGCTACAGAGAAACCCTGTCTTGAAACCCCCCCCAAAAAAAAACAGAATGGGAAAAGATCTTCACCAACCACCCCACATCTGACAGAAGGCTGATCTCCAAAATATACAAAGAACTCAAGAAACCAGACTCAAACTACCAAATAATCCAATTAAAAAATGGGGCAAATATCTAAACAGAGAATTCTCAACAGCACAACCTCAAATGGTGGAAAGACACTTAAGGAAATGCTCAACCTCCTTAGTCATGAGGGAAACGCAAATCAAAACCACTCTGAGATTCCTTCTTACACTGATCAGAATGGCTAAGATCAAAACCACTGATGACAGCTTATTTGGGAGAGGATGTGGAGAAAGGGGAACACTCCTCCATTGCTGGTGGGAGTGAAAACTTGTACAGCCATTGTGGAAATCAGTAGGGTGATTTCTCAGAAAATTAGGAATCAATCTACCTCAAGACCCTGCAATACCATTGTTGGTCATATACCCAAAGGAGGCACACTCACACCACAAGGACATTTGCTCAGCTATGTTCATAGCAACATTACTTGTAACAGCCAGAACTTGGAAATAACCTAGATGCCCCTCAACCAAAGAATGGATGAAGAAAATGTGGCATATTTACACAATGGAGTACTACTCAGCAGTAAGAAACAATGGCATCCTAAAATTCACAGGCAAATGGACAGAACTAGAAAAAACCATCCAAAATTTTTCTGAAATTCATTAAAGGTACCAAAGTCAAATCTAAGTATTCCTATGATTCCAACTCAGAATAACACAAAGAAAACCATAGGAGGCCTAAAAATAGTTCACAGCTCAAAACAAAGCAAAACAATCAGAAAAACAGTGAAAGCAGACATCAGGGGGTAAAGGGAAAAAGACATTCTTAGGCAAGAATAAGACAAGGGTGATTGAAATTATCAAAAAAAAAAAAGCACAAAACAACAATGACAACAACAACAACCTACCAGAAAACAAACAAACAAAAAATCAGGGAAAAGTTAGGCTTCTTGATGTTAAGAGATGATGTCTACAGACATCCTGGTAACCAAAGAGTAAAGTTCAAAGTAGGGGCTATAGAGAGAGATGGCTCAGAGGTTTAGAGCTCTGACTGCTCTTCCAAAGACCCTGAGTTCAATTCCCAGCAACCACATGGTGGCTCACAACCCTCTATAATGAGATCTGGTGCCCTCTTCTCAGACATACATACAGGCAGAATACTGTATGCATAATAAATCTTAAAAAAAATAAAATAATAAAAAAGAGTTCAAAGTACTTAAGAGTCTGGCGGTGGTGGTGGCCCATGCCTTTAATTCCAGCACTCCAGAGTCTGAGGCAAGTGGATCTCTGTGAGTTCGAAGCCAGCCTGGTCTACAGAACTAGTTCTAGGATAGCTAGGGCTAAGTAGAGAAACCCTGTCTCGAAAAACCAAACCAAACCAAAAACGCTTTTCTTCTTTAATACAGAGGTTCTCAAACTGTGGGCCACGACTCCTTTCCCAAAAATATTACGATTCCTAATAGCAGCAAAATTCGTTATGAAGTAGCAACGAAAATAATTTTCTGGTTGAGGTCACCACAACTGTATTAAAGGGTCACAGCGTTAGAAGGGTTGAGAACCACTGGCTTAAGAACTGTGGCAGTGTTCAAACAATGTAAAAGTTATAACTCTTGCAAACTTTTCTGAGTTAAAGAAGAATACAGGTCAAGGTAATTGCCTGTAAATCCTAACCCTTGGGAAGCTTAGGCAGGAAGACCTCTGGGATTTCAAGGCTAGGCTGGGCTCCACAAGCAAGACACTTGTCTGGGAAGAAAGAAAGATGAAAGGAAGGAAGGAAATGAATGAATTCTTAAATACTCTAGGTACTGAATACTGTATCATATACAACCTTAAAGAGAAAACCATCTCCCTATAAAGGAATAGAATGGAAAGTTTTCAATAAAAATTTTTTTCAGTGCAAAATTTTCTTGTTATAAAACAGATATAAAGACAAAAAGTATAACTTTTAAAAATAATTCACTTTCACATAGGAATCTTAAAATAATAAAAATTTCAGGACAGTACATTAAAAAAAAGAAAACCAGGCAGTCTGGTTTTAAAAATGCAAGATAAATTGGGATAACTTGTATTTGCATACGAAAGGTAAAATAATATAAACAGGTACAGAAATGTATTGCACACACACACACACACACACACACACACACACACACACACACACACACACACACACACACCAAACAACCCAAAACCCAAGAGAGGAGTTTGACGGGATAGCTGTCAAAAGCAAAGAACACACAAGTATTCTAATGAAAGTACCAGTAAAGGTGTTGCTCTGGCGAACGCGATAAATACAGTTTGCCACTTTATTTGTGTCTATTAGTTACTGAGTCCAAGTGTTTTAGCACACCTTAAAAGATCACCAGATTTCCCAACAGAAGAGAAGCGCTCCAATATGTACAAATGTGACCCGGAATCGCGTCGCCTGTATTAAGATGTCTATCTACCCGAGAGAAAACACAGGTTGCCGAAACTCCAGCTCTGTTGCAAACCCTTAAAAGTTCCAGACCCATTTGTTACCGGTTTAAATGCAAACAGATAAAAACTTTACAGGCCTTGGACACACAAACACGCACAATTGGGCACACAAAGTCCACCCCACAGATGTAGAATTTGTGTGGTGGAGTCGTCGTCTTCAACTCTCAACCCGAAACGTTAGCTGCTTATGCTGGGGAAAAAAGAAAGCCAAGGGTACACACTTGGGTTCCAGGTTGCGTAAAAGTGACCTTTGGGGCGTTCGGGCAACTCCTGGAGCGGCTCTAAGCAGCTCTCCCAGTGACTTTTGCTCCCGATCCCGCGTCCGTGCAGTCCCGGAGTCGCCGCGCTGGGCCGCGGGCCCCAAGCTCGCAGCTTGGAGAGGGTCAGGCTGCCGCGCCCCCCGCATAAGAAGCTGCCGCCTTCCTTTCAAGCGCCGACAGCCGTGAATCACGCAGGGCGCCCCGGGGACCCGGCGCTGGCACCGCCGGCAGCCGGCAGCCCCGCAGCCCTGCTCCGCGCTCGCCCGGGGGCTGTGGCGGGCGAGCCTCCCTTCCCCGTAACGGCTTCAACCGCCCCCCGCCGCCCGGTCCCCCGCTTCACATAGGCTTCACACTCACTGGAAAGCGGGGCCGGGGCCCGCGCCCGGGCCCGAGCCGGCCCCGGGAACTCGGCGGGTCTCCCAGGGCTTCGGGGGCCGCGGCGGCTGAGACGCCATCTCTCCGCCTGCTCCGCTACGGCTCCGGGCCGCGACTGCGACGGCTCCGGGAAGGAGCGCCTGGCTGGCCAGGCCCGATGGGCAGAGCGCCGAGCCCTCCACCCCGCCCACCTCTGGCACCAGGCCAAGGGCTGGGGCTAGTTTGAGCGTCTGACGTTCGAGGGAGCGAGGGGGACATTCGGTTCCTGGGAGAAGGACACGTTCCTTTCTCAGTTCTCTTAGTTTGGCTTTCAAAGAGTTTGGGCTCATCGACGCTTCTGGCAGCAGCTAATGTTCCCTAGATGCCGAGTCCCGCGGAGGCTTCTTGGCCGGTTGACCCTTAGGGCTCGCAGCGAAGCCCTGGCGGCTGTGCGAAGCCCTGGCGGCTGTGCGCTCCCGGAGCTAGCCAGAGTGCAAACCTGCGAGCCCGACGGCCTTACGGATCTTCCTGTAAACTAGACCGGGGGGAGGCGGGGGGCTTCACGCATTCCTTTCGCGGAAGGCCTGGTACTTTCGTTCTAGAGCTCTCGTTTCCTTGGGGGAACAGAACTGCTAGGCGCAGCAGGTGCGCTGTCTTTAGTCTTCCCCACCCCACCTGCTGCCCAAAGGGGTTAAATCTTGGCTCCAGCGTCTTGGGAGAAGGAAGGTAAGGCCGAGGAGGTATGAGGTGAGGGGTTAGGGACTGGGTGCCAAAAAGGCGTGGCTGGAATCCTGTTGGTGTGTTGGCCAGGTGGAGTGAGTGGGAAGTTTCTGCGACCTTAGCAAAGAGAGTTAAGGGCTGGGAGCGTTTCCCATGCCTCCCCTCCCAGCCCCTGTCCGAGGAACCACGCCTGTGCATGTGGTCGTGCAGTTAAAAAGAACTCGTGGTGTGAATCTCAGACCATTTCAGGGTTGCCCTTTCCCCCGCGCTCTATTCTTCCTTCCTTTTTCTATTATTGTTTTTCTTTTGTTGAAAAAGAAGAAGAAAAAGAAGGTCTTTTCTCTGCATTTGATGAGACCAGGCCAGTTGCACGGCCTGTGGAGAAGGGAGTCGGCCCCTGTAGAGATTCTGGGAGGGGCTTCTGTTGGCAACTTTTCAGTTCATTCTGTAAAAGAAACAGAAAAAGTCTTAGCAGTGGAAACTTAGTGTGAGAAGTGTTTCCCAGGGCTCGATTTCCAAGGTGAGTTCAATATCAGGCCACAACTCATTTCCTTTTACAAAACCCTGCCATCTGATCACATCGATGAAATAACCGTCTTTATTTAAGGTGCATGTATGTTTAACGTTAACGTGCTTGAGGAGTCACTGGAGTATTGTCAGGTGAGAATGGTTGAGAACTTTTACAGCTCTTACTTTGATTATTAACGCACTCACTTCACCGGATCGCTCAGGACAGGAGGTTTGGCAATTCTCAGCAGGTTTGGGGACTGTGGAGCCTACATATTGTGGTTGTTATTTATCGGCTTTGCATGATACCTTTGTTCTAGTGAACTATGGAGAAATAGCATTCAGTCTTTAAGCCAAAAGGAAGAGCCTGAATTTGAACATTGTTAAGTGAGTCCAGAGGTAAGGCTTCACTGTGAAGTGACCTTTTAAAGGGCTTATGGACTTTTTTTTTTTTTGAAGGTGCATTTGTTTCCCTTTTGAGTTACAGGCTAATTCTGTGTTGAATCAAATGCTTGATGTTAATTAACACTGAAGTTTCTCTGTAGGTTGGCTTTTCTCTCCAGCCAGCCTGCTCCCAAATAACCACACAGAGACTTATTAATTATAAATGCTCAGCTCATAGCTTAGGCTTGTTTTAGCTAGCTCTTGTAACTTAACCTATTTCTATTAATCTGTTATTATTAACATTATCATATAATTTTATTTATTATATATTATATTAATCTGTTATTAGTTATAAATGCTCACCTGATAGCTTAGGCTTATTTCATCTAGCTCTTGTAACTTAAATTAACCTATTTCTATTCATCTCTGTGCTGCCCCAAGGCTCATTTACCTCCTGTGCTCCCTCTGCATCTCTTGGTGTCTCCTCCGACTCCTCCCTTCTTCTCCCCAGCATTCTCTCTGCCCTGAAAACCCTGCCTACTTATCAGCCAATCAGTACATCTCACAATGTACAGAAGGGTTATTCCACAGCAACCCCTCCTTCTCTCCTTTCCCTTCCTGTCCCCTCTCTCTTTCTCTGTTTCTCCCTTCCTCTCCAAACTCTCACTCTGTAGCCCAGGTTGCGTTTGCTTCTGCATTAAGCCCAGGATGGTCTTGAACCCATGGTGCTTGCCTCAGCCTCTTATATACTGAAATACAAGTGTGAGCCACCACACCTGGCAAGGGATGCATCTTATGTAATTCTTTTCAATCTTTACTTGACATTAAGTGATTCAATAAACAGTTGGCCACATGGAGTTTTGTGATTGTTTTTTAAAGCACTTTCTTGAAGATTTACACAGGCAACCCTGCGTGGTCTCCAGGCCTGGTATCTGAAAGTTGTCTGGAAGTTCTTCCTATCATGTCCACAATGAGCTTGGCTTCTTTGTTCTTCTGCCCTGTAACTCACTGCTCAGTCACATTAGTAGTTTAGACTATAGATACAACAAGCAGTTTTCAAAGGAAAGCTAGTTCTTCTTAAGGGCATATTTGTATTTGGCAGTAAAACCCTGAAACTGCTCGTTTGCCTTTCTCTCTTCCAGCTGTGATCGCTCAGTATGTTCCCACTGACTGAGGGGAGCAAGCATGTGGCCCGGTTGCTGTTCAGTTCTGGTACCTGTCCCAGATGCATCTTCAGACTCTGTGGTGTGGATCTTCATGCGCCTTACAAACGCCCATCCAAGGTATTTCTTTTTAAGTTAAGGGATGTCTTTTTATAGTTTAGAGTGAATGTCACTAGCTTTGAGTACAGTGGTCCATCACTCCACTAAAGAAGGAAAATTCCTACTCAGGTAATTTTGGAACTGCAGTTACCTTAAAAATTTGATGTATGAATATAGTTGCTTTTTATTACATTACCATTTAATAGTTAGTATAGAGGGATCTTTGTTGGAATTTTTTATATTCATTATTTGTGTATGCATTTTTCTTTTTTTATTTAAATTAGAAACAAGCTTGTTCACATGTCTGTCCCAGTTCCCTCTCCCTCCTCTCCTCCCCTGCCTCCCACTGACCCCCTATCCCATCCCTTTCTGCTCCCCAGGAAAGGTGAAGAGTTGCATGGGGAATCTTCAAAGTCTGTCCCATTATTTGGAGCAGGGCCTAAGCCCTCCCCCATGTGTCTAGACTGAGAGAGGCCCCATAGATTAACCAGACCTCCAAACTGACATCCTCCTTCAGGGGGTCTGGAACAGTCCTATGCTGGTTTCTCAGCTGTCAGTCTGGGGTCCATGGGCTCCCCCTTGTTTAGGTCAGCTGTTTCTGTGGGTTTCTCCAGAATGATCTTGACCCCTTTGCTCATCACTCTTCCCTCTCTGCAACTGGATTCCAGGAATTCAGTTCAGTGTTAGCTGTGAGTGTCTGCTTCTGCTTATATCAGCTACTGGATGAAGGCCCTAAGATGGCATTTAAGGTAGTCATCAGTCTCATTATTGGGGAAGGGCATTTAAGGTAGCCTCTCCACTATCTTAGATTGCTAGTTGAGGGTCATCCTTGTAGATCTCCGGACATTTCCTTAGTGCCAGATTTCTCTTTAAACCTATAATGGCTCCCTCTATTATAGTATCTCTTTTCTTGCTCTCCTCTATTCTTCCCCTGACTCAATCTTCCTGCTCCCTCATGTCTTCCTCTCCCCTCCTCTTCTCCCCTTCCCTTTCTCCTAACTCTCTCCCCTCCTCCTATCCTCCCAATTAGCTCAGGAGATCTAATCCCTTTCCCTTTCTCCGGGGGACCATGTATGTCTCTCTTGGGGTTCTCCTTGTTTCCTAGCTTCTCTGGTGGTGTAGATTGTAGGCTGGTAATCCTTTGCTCTATGTCTAAAATCCATATATGAGTTAGTACATACCATGTTTGTCTTTTTGTGACTGGGTTACCTCACTCAGGATGGTTTCTTCTAGTTCCATCCATTTGCCTTCGAACTTCAAGATTATTTTTTTCCACTGAGTAGTACTCCATTGTGTAAATGTACCACATTTTCTTTATCCATTCTTCAGTTGAGGGGCATCTAGGTTGCTTCCAGGTTCTGAATATTACAAATAATGCCACTATGAACATTGTTGAACAGGTGTCCTTGTTGTATGAATGTGCATATTTTGGGTATATGCCTAAGAGTGGAATTGCTGGATCTTGTGGTAGACTGATTCCCATTTTCCTGAGGAGCTGCCATACTGATTTCCAAAGTGACTGTACAAGTTTGCACTCCCACCAGCAGTGGAGGAGTGTTCCTCTTTCTCCACATCCTCTCCAGCATAAGCTGTCATTGGTGATTTTGATTTTAGACATTCTGACAGGAGCAAGATGGTCTCAGAGTTGCTTTGATTTACATTTCCCTAATGGCTAAGGATGTTGAGCACTTTCTTAAGTATCTCTCAGCCATTTTAGATTCTTCTATTGAGACTTCTCTATTTAGTTCTGTACCCCACTTTTTAATTGGATTATTTGGTGTTTTGGTGACTAGCTTCTTGAGTTCTTTGTATATTTGGAGATCAGCCCTCTGTCAGATGTGGGGTTGGTGAATATCTTTTCCCATTCTGTGGGCTGCTGTTTTGTCTTGTTGACTGTATCCTTTGCCTTACAGAAGCTTCTCAGTTTCAGGAGGTCCCATTTATTAATTGTTGATCTCAGTGTTTGTGCTACTGGTGTTATGTTCTGGAAGCAGTCTCCTGTACCAATTCCTTCAATGGTATCTCCCACTTTCTCTTCTAAGAGGTTCAGTGTGACTGGATTTATGTTGAGGTCTTTGATCCATTTGGACTTAAGTTTTGTGTATGGTGATAGACATGAATCTATCTGCAGTCTTCTACATGCCAGCATCCAGTTATGCCAGCACCATTTGTTGAAGATGCTTTCTTTTTTCCATTGTATAATTTTAGCTTCTTTGTCAAAAATCAGGTGTTCGTAGGTGTATGGGTTAATATCAGGATTTTCAATTCGATTCCATTGGTCTACCTGTCTATTTTTGTGGCAATACCATGCCTATAGCTCTATAGGATTATAGCTCTATAGTAGAGCTTGAAGTCAAGGATGGTGATGCCTCCAGAAAGCTCCTTTGTTGTACAGCATTGTTTTGGTTATCCTGGGCCTTTTGTTTTTCCATATAAAGTTGATTATTGTTCTTTCAAGGTCTGTGAAGAATTGTGCTGGGATTTTGATGGGGAAATGCATTGAATCTATAGATTGCTTTTGACAAGATTGCCATTTTTGCTATATTGATCCTACCTATCCAAGAGCATGGGAGATCTGTCCATTTTCTGGTGTCTTCTTTAATTTGTTTCTTTAAAGACTCACAAAGTTCTTGTGACACATATCTTTCACTTGTTTGATTAGAGTTACCCCAAGATGTTTTATGTTGTTTGTGGCAATTATAAAGGGTGGTGTTTCTCTGATTTCTTTCTCAGTCCATTTATCAATCATAGTAGGGCTACTGAATTTTTTGAGTTAATCTTGTATCCTGTCACTTTGCTGAAGGTGTTTATCAGCTGTAGGAGTTCCCTTTGTGCAGACGTTTTATGAAGGTCATCTAAACAAAGTAACAATAGATAATGAATGCTTCTTACCTGACATTAGTGCTATGAACAGGAGGGGGTCATAGTCCTGATTTCTTCTTTTAAATAGAAATGAGTGTGGTCACTTTTTTTACAGTTACATTGTTTCTGTTATTTCTGTGAGTATGTACATATTTATGAGTGTGGTGTGTATGTGCATGAGCATGGGTATCTGCTGGCTCACACAGATGTCTATGTGGAAGTTAGTTCTCTCCTTCCGCCATAGACGCTGGGAGATCAAGCAGGTTAGTAGGCTTGTGTGCCAAGTGCTTTTTCCCAACAGGCCATGCTGCTTGTCCTGCACTGTGTGCTACCATGGATATGTGTATGTTCATATGTATGCTTCTGGTGCTGGGCATTGAACCCAGGTCTTCACATATGCCAGCGAGTCATGGCACCAACCCATGTCCCCAGCCTACCGCTTGTTTCACGCAGTGAAGGGGAGGGATGTGTTCTGACAAAGTGTCCTTTGATGACTTTGTGCTTGTGTCTCGGAGTGTGCTTAAATGAAGACAGTGTAATCTAGGGCCCACCATCCACAACCATGTAGTCTGCGTTGTCAGGAATATTGTGTGATACCTGGCTGTGTCAGGGAGCCTTTAAAAGCTCAGCATAGTCATTATTCCTGATACTAGTAGCACAAGAACCTTTCAGAGTCTTCCACATTTACATTAGTACACAGAGAGCTGTGCTGTTGAATAGAGTCTCTTCACATAAAGTTTAGGATATTCCTTGACATATGGTTGATACTAACAGTGACATTCTTTTCAAAGGCAAATCATTGTATTCCTGTGTAAAAGTATACATTTATACCTACATCCTCAATTTTTTTTTTTTTTTTGAGACAGGGTTTGTCTATGCCTTTGGAGGCTGTCCTGGAACTCGCTCTTGTAGACCAGGCTGGTCTTGAACTCACAGAGATCCACCTGCCTCTGCCTCCTGAGTGCTGGGATGAAAGGCATGTGTTACCCCCTCCTCAGTTTATTTTAAAAATTGCTAATAAATGTTGCAGCAATTGCTGTTATTTTCTATATCATTGTGTTGTTTCTACTATGTTAAAAATAGCAATAATTCCTGGTGTTTGTCTAGTGTTGCTATGTGTCAGGCTTTCGTTTAACCTTTTGTAAGTACATGCAGTGTTCATCTCTGTTTTCAGATGAAGCGGCTGAAGCATAGAGAAGCTATTTATTGAATGAGCAGACTAGGAATCGAGCAGTGTGTCTGGGTCCAAAGCCCAGGACTGGAGCTAGAAGACGTGGATTGACTCTTGGTTCACCACTGCAGGGCTTCAGTTCACTGCTCTGTACAGGGGCAGTGACAAGCCCCACTTCCCCGGGTGTTAAGGACATGATCTATTTATTTAGTACGTGAGGGTGAAAGCAAGTGGAAGGCAGACGTGTCGTACGCACAGTGAAAGTTGCATGCGTGTAAATGCTCAGCTCACTCCAGCTTTGTGTGGTCTTCCTTTCCATGCACGCCCCACTGCATGTATGTACTGGATTCAAAATACATTTTGTAGAGGGGACTGTCAGCAACTCTGACTCGTAATATTCTTTGTGAGTAAATGTAAATGAAATATTTGAAGGCTTTTTTGAAATGTTTTAACCCTTGTTTTGTTCCAGTCACATAGCTGTACGTGAACACACCCATGTATATCCTGTGTTATACTCGTGTTAGGTAGTAATCAACACTTGTGTGTGTGTACGTGTGGATTGTTTGTGAAAACTGGAGTGCTAATGTGTCAACAAAATGAATTTAATGTTTGAATGAAAAGCATTTTCTTAAGTTAGTATAGTCTAACTGAATTCAAACGATTTATCCAACAATTGAACAGTCAAACTGGCCTGATTTGGAAGAAGCCCAGGGAAAATTCTTAGCTCTAGATGGGGGAGTAGCAGAAGTGTTGGAGTGTTTTCAAGGGGAAACTTGTGTTTGCATTCTAATACAAGGAATTACAGAGATTAGACAAAAAATAGGAGAGGGCTTAATGCATATAAATGGGTTGTAATTATGGTGCCAAATTTTAGCACTGCCATCTATGTATTTGGGTAAATTGTCACAAAAATTATCTTGTTCAATCTTTAAATGATGAGGTTTCACATTAGCTAATTCACTGTGCTGTGAGGTGTTAAATAACTTAGCTTGTACTTTCCTGTGTGTATGTGTCTGTCTGTCTGTCTGTCTCTGTTTCTTTGTTGTTGGAAGTGGAACCCAGGGCTTCATGCACACTAAACAGGAATTCCACCACTAAGCTCATCTGCATCCCAGTTTATATTTTTATGTTGTGATTATTAGAATTTAATTAGTTTTTTGAATTAGTAGCTTAATGACCTTCCCAATAGAATTACAAGTCAGATTTGTAAATTTGTTGGTGGAGACTTTCTGCTTAAGTTTAGAGCTTTTGCTTCACCGATTCGTGAAATTCTTTTTTAAAAACATTCACATATGTAATATATATATGATAGGCATTTGATGAGTGTATGGGTTGAATGCATTAATAATAAATTCAAAGTCACCAGTAACGTACTAGTGTTGCAGTAAGGACAGAAATTAGAGCTCTTCTCCTTGGTGTCATTTAACCAAGAGGGAGCCCAGATTTGAATTCTTGACTTTGTTCTCCTTGTGTCTCTGTCATTCTATGTCTCTCTGGTGTGTGAGCCAGAATCTGTACCCACCCAAAAGCTGTCTTGTAAATGTATTATCCCTAATTCTGTGTCTGTCCTTATGTATCTGTTCTTAACAAAGGGCTGTGTTCGCTTTATTTTTTAATTTATTTTTAAATTTTATTTTTAATTGTGTGTGTAAGTGTGTGCCGTGTGTGTGTGTGTGTGTGTGTGTGTGTAAGTATGTGCCATGTGTGGGGGTGCCTATGGAGGCCAGATGCATTGGATTCCCTGGGGCTGGAGTTACACAGTTGTGAGCCACCTGAAGTGGTCCTCTGGAAGAATAGTCCATGCTCTTTACCACGGAACCATCTCTCTAACTACTTCTTTTATTGGACAGCATAGATATCATCACATGGAGAAGGAATGAGTAATACTTTACAGTAATATTTCACAATTTTACAAGGAGTTAATTCCAACTGACCCAGATAGCAAACTCTAGCAGGCTGAATGCTGCCTTCGGTCGTTATGGTGGGCATTCATTTTATAAGGCTGCTCTTAGCTGTTTTTAGCAGATAATTATCATACACATGCAAACCCATGTGCATTGCTCTTAGGTCAAGGGTATAAGAGAGTACATTAGCTTATGTGATAGAGGATTACTTGGGAAAGCCAACGCAAGTGAGGTTGGTTGTTGGTTGTTCCCTTAAAGGCAGGTTAAACAGACAGTCTGAGCACACAGTAGGACAGGAGTCTGAAGTGACTTCAAAGTCTGAAGTGACTGAGTTCCAGCAAAAGTTCCAGTCTCTTAGAATGTAACAGGTGTTTCTATCATAATGCATTACTACAGGTTATTCTCTCAGATTTCCTAGAAAGCCACTGCCGCAGTAAATTGGTTACTCCTGAAGTCCTATAAACCAATGTTGTGTGAGTTTGTGCTGTTATAATCCTCTCTATACCTTGTTTTGAGACGGGGCTCACTATGTAGCCCAGGGTGCTTGAACTCACAAGGTTCTGCTGCCACTGCCTCTAAGTGCTCTAGTGGGACCAGAGGGCTGGCATCCAGGACAGGCATTGCCAGGCGGGGCAGTACAGGCCTTTAATCCCAGAGCTCAGAGGTAGGCTGATCTCTTATGTGACATCCGTGTGTTACTGATGACTGAATTTATTATTGATGAATTTAATCCACATACCAATCAAATGCCTACTTTATGTGTGTATGTTTTTCCAAAAGAATTTCACAAATCAGTAAAGCTAAAACCCTAATATTAAGTAGAAGGTTTCCATCAGCAGTTTACAAATCTGGCTTGTAGTTCTTTTGGGAAGGTCATTCACTGTGAATTAAAAAAAAGAGAGACACATGTTGCCACACCTGGCTGACTTTCACACTTCATCTTATGAACTTCAAAGCCATTTTAAAATGTTACTCCTTTTTCTTAACTTTTCAGGAGTTGTTCAATGATCTACAGAAATTTCTAGAAACTGAAAAAGATGAATTAATTTTGGAGGGTCCAAACCCACCATTGAAGAAAATTCGTCTTCAAGAAGACGGAATGGATAATTTGAATGGAAATGGAGAGGAGGGGACCTCTGCCACAGAAGATGAGAACATTGTCTCTGAGCCTTCAGATTTGAGTGTGTGCAATGTTTGCTTAGGAATTCTTCAAGAGTTCTGTGAGAAAGAGTTTATAGCAAAGGTAAACAATCTGCCCCTCATGATAGAGCAGAGACTAGGATTCTTATGCCTACCATTCCTAAACAGTACCATCCATTTCAACGTGGTCTGTGCCAGCTGATCGCTTAAATCTCTTCTTAATTAGAAAATACCAACTCTTCTGAAATTGTCATATCACATATTGCAAAATTAAGAAGAACTGTCTGACACGCAGCATGCTGTTCTGAAACTGACACTTGTGTAGTGTGAGAACTATCAAATGCTGGTGTCATGGTGTCCGTGGAGAGTGCTCCACTCAAATGATGCAGTTTTGTTTGTTTGCCTTTGTCTTGGGCAGCGCTAGAGAGTGACTCGCCACATGCTAGGCAAGGCAGCACTTCTGAGCCTCAGCCCCAGCTCCTAGGCGAATATTGGGAAGTTGTGCAATGTCATCTCCTGGGAGGAGTTTATGATTAGAGCCACATTTCATCGATGCTTGGAAGTTTACATATCTGTAATTCTCTTATAGGTGTGTCAAAAGGTTGAAACCTCTGGGTTTGAATTCACCAGCATGGTTTTATCAGTTTCCTTCCCACCACAGCTGTCTGTGAGAGAGGTAAGGCCATTTGCACACTCAGAGCATGTGTGAAGTGTATGCTGTGCATTCCTAACTTCTAAAACCAAAACCAAGCAAAAATGAGGGTGTCAGTGGACATAGAGGCTCACACTTGTCACCTCGGCACTTGGCATGAAAGTTGAATGGTGAGCGAGTCTGAGGCCATCCTAGGCAAGCCGTGTGTACAGAACCAAGGTTGCAGTAGAGTTGCATGATGGCACATGAGCAGGCATGTTGTCACATGAGCAGGCATGTTGTCACATGAGCAGGCATGTTGTCACATGAGCAGGCATGGTCAGAAATGCCTCAGATTCATTACACAGTTGGTTTTGAAGTAATTTTTTGTTCTCAGTTTTTTTTTTTCTTGCAACCCCTCCACCTTCAGTTATGTGACCCCAGATGTGGTTGATAAAAATACCATCGAGCTAAAAGTACATAATTTGAGAACTTTCCAATTTAAGCTTCTTCTCCTAGATCTTGGTTGGGGTTTCTAATGCTGTGAAGAGACACCATACCCATGGCAACTCTTATGAGAAAAGCATTTAATTGTGGTAGCTCAGTTAACAGTTTCAGAGGTTTAGCCCATCATCGTGGAGGGACATGAAAGCAGGCAGGCGGACTCGGTGCTGGAGAGGGAGCTGAGAATCTACATCTTATCTGCGGGCAGCAGAAGCAGCTGTGCCACTGAGAGTAGCTTGAGCACAGGAGACCCAAAGCCTATCCCCACAGTGACACACCTCCTCCTACAAAGCCGTACCTTCTCCAAGGCCACACCTCCGAATGGCGCCGTTTCCTATGGAAGCCATTTTCTTTCAAATCACCACAATACTGGTTCTTAAACTTTTTAACATGTATAAGATTTATTCATAGCTAGGCATGCTGACTTCTGTTCAAAACCCAGTATTCAGGAGGCTGACAGAAGGGTTGTCGGGAATGTGAGCCCAACCTGGTGGATTTCCCAAGCACCATTTGTATGTATTCAGTCAGGTGAGGCCTAGGAATTTTCATTCTAACCACATTCACTGGTGCTGTTGTTACAAAGATTACAGTTTGAAAAATTAATACTCTTAAAATTTGTGTGTGTGCGCGCGCGCACGTGCGCACAGGAATAGAAGTCAGGACAACTTGTAGTAACTGATTTTGTCTCTCTGCCATGTGGGTCTGCCTTTACCTGCTGAACCATCTTGCCAGCTCAAAATTAAGAATTAAAAAAAAAATTATGTTCCTGAGAGGGGGGAGAAGGACATGGGATATACATTTTGGATAGGTGAATTTCAAACAATGCAAGAAAAACTGGCATAAACATCTGGGTTAAAAGATAAGTTGTAAGTCTTAGAAAGTTCAGAGAAAGCAGAAATTCAGATTTTAGTCCAAACCAAACTATTCTAATGAATGAAAGTTTTGAGAGAATCCCCATAAAGAATTGGGAGGCATGGTGACTTATGCCTGTGCTTGTAGCACTTGGGAAGCTGAGGCAGGGTGGCTGCTATGACTTGAGGCCAGCCTGGACAACGCGGGAAAAGTATGTCATAAGAAAGAGTAATTTAGAAAGAGTAAAAATGAGAAATGAAGTGTATGTCTGCAACAAGGGGATCATGAATTCGTCTTAGGTTATATAGTAAGATCCTGTTGAGAGTAGGAGGGGGGAGAAGAGGCATTTTTTTTTCTTTTGAAAAACTAAAGTGTTGTGAGTTGCCTGATTCTCAAATTGAACAATCAAGGTTTATTTTGCAAAGTTGAGATCAGTTACAAAAAAGACAAAACAAAACATAAAACCGGAAATGACAGAGTCACATTAATGCAGATTTAAGGAAGCCTGGATCTGTTAAACAACCCGAAAACTCGACCCTTCAGCGAATGAAGCTCGCAAGAATTGCCAAGGGATTTCTGTGTAGGTTAGGGACAGGGGACAGGGGACAGGGGACAGGGGACAGGCCTGTTTGGAAGGCTCGCACACTGCAGATAAATGGTAGAGAGAAAGCCGAGTTCTGGAAATTCTACTTTGCTTCTGGCCTTTCTGTCAGGGAAATGTGATCTCTCTCAAAACCAGAAAGTTGAGTGACCATTTTAGGGAGAATGAAGGCTGCACCAAGTGAAGCTTTCCTAAGTGGATTCAGGCATCTGGTTTAGTAAACTGCATTCAAGATAGATTGAAATCACTGCAGCCGCCCGTGATCTTCTGACGGCTCTTCCCCAGTGGTTGCAGACATGAAAATGGACAGCTGGCGAGCGTCCTGCAAACCTCGGTAAGATCCTGGACCAGGAGCTGCAGGGTGACCTGTGGGCACTAGCGTGAGGAAGAACGAGGTAGAGCATGGAGGCGGCAGTACCTGCTGGGGACCACTCTTGTTTCTCATGGTAGCTTCCTAACAGTGGCTGGGACACCCGCAGGGCCTGGGTGCGATCGGCTGGATTGTGCTGGGCTGTCTGTGTCCAAAAGGAGCTGAATGAATGGCTAGTGCCAAGGAGGACAGTGCTGCTAAACGTGCTGAAGGTCAGCCACATGCCACTCCGCTGCGGGAAGATGTGGACAACAGCTGCTGGGCCTTGACTTTCCTCCCAAACCCTAATCTCCAAAGGTAGATCGCGGAAGCCCCCTGCTGACACCTGCGCGTGGGACCACAAGCCTCACTGAGGCGAGGGGAGAGTGCCCTGCGCATCAGAACTCTTTCCCACTCTCTCTGAATGGTGTCTTGTAGTGAAGGTATGGTGAGAACCCTCCCTATGAGCTACATGACACAGGGCGGAGAGTGCGGCCCACGTGCTGAATGCTGTAATTAACTCACAAGAACAGTCAAAAAAGATGAAATCATAAGATCAATGTGGCTTCTTATGCTTGACTTTAAACAGCAGCTGCCCAGTAAAGGAAAGGCTTACACATTGACAGAGACATCTCAGGGATGTAGGTGGGAACTGGGTAAAGAAACAGTGAGCTGATTGGATGATACAAAGGGTACAGTGTAGATGATGGTTGGGTCTCAGCCCATCTGTGAGGAAAAGGGGACACTTGTGTTTGCTCCTGCTCTTAGATTTCTGCTTGAGAAGAAATAAAGACGAGTGAGACGGTTGGCTGGTTCATATTCAGAAGGTAGACTCGGGATGGAGGTAATTCTCATCCCAGAGGATTTAGCCAGAGAGGACAAGTTTTCTTTTTTTTTTTTTTTTTTTTTTTTTTTTTTTGGTTTTTCGAGACAGGGTTTCTCTGTATTGTTTTGGAGGCTGTCGGTTCAGCCTGGCCTCGAACTCACAGAGATCTGCCTGCCTCTGCCTCCCGAGTGCTGGGATTAAAGGCGTGCGCCACCACTGCCCAGCGAGAGGACAAATTTTCTAACACAGATTAAACTGAGGGTGGGTGACCACCTGGCAGGTCTGTATGAGGAAAGTAAAATCTTTTCAGCTGTTTTAACACTTTGTATTACCTCTCCTGGTAAGTCTGCATCTTTTCAGTGCAGATAAGGAGGCAAGAATAATTGTGAGCCAGGAAGTTTATTGGGATTATTTATAGGTGACTCACGCCCGATGCGCAGCCTGTGTCCGAGAATGTGGCGAGGGTGTCAGGATTGACGACACAGAGACCAGAAGGCTCCTCAAGAAGGCTCTCCTTTATTCCTACTCTGGCTGGTTATTATATACCCTGACACCAGAGGTGGATGTGGGTGGGTCTGAAGGTGGGGATAGTCTTTGCTTTGGAAAAGGTCGAGGACAGGGCGGTTCCCGGGGGCCAGCCCTTTTCATGAACTTACTGCCGCGGGCATTGTATTGTTTTTAGTAAACATTGTCTTACAGCTGCCTACTCTCCCAGGCCATGGGGAAGTGGGTCTGTGCTCAAGGTCTGGTGTCCCCACACTGTGTCACTGAAAAAGCTACCTCAGCAAGAATGGTGACTCAGGAAGGTCGCCTCATGGACTCCCTGTGCAACCTGTACCCAGCTGCTCTACCTGAGAGTCTCTTGTCTTCCCAAACTTGTTTGTTGTTTTTCTGATCTCTGCTGGGTACCCCATGAGTCTTGTGACTTTGTGAGCTTCCCGAGTCTTGTGAGTTTACTGTTTTTCTTTTTCTTTTTTCTTTTTTGATTTTGAAGATAGAACTTCTCTATCTAGCTTTGGATCTTGTTCTTAAACTCGCTTTGCAGACCAGGCTGGCCTCAAACTCACAGAGATCCACCTGCCTCTGTCTCCCTAGTGCTGGGATTAAAGGCGTGAGCCTTCAACGCCTGGTTAAGTTTACTGTTTTTAAAAAAATATTTGCCGGGCGGTGGTGGCGCACGCCTTTAATCGCAGCACTCGGGAGGCAGAGGCAGGCGGATCTCTCTCTGTGAGTTCGAGGCCAGGCTGGACCGACAGCCTCCAAAACAATACAGAGAAACCCTGTCTCGTAAAAACAAAAAAATAAAAATAAAAAATATTTATTGTATGTGTGTATAGCATGCCACAGGTGTGTGTATGTGTGTGTGTAGCATATGTCATAGGTGTATGTGTGTATGTATAATGTATGTCACAGGTATGTGTGTAGTATATGTCACAGGTGTATGTGTGTATGTATAGTGTATGTCACAGGTGTGTGTGTAGCATATGTCACAGGTGTATGTGTGTATGTATAGTGTGTCACAGGTGTGTGTGTAGCATATGTCACAGGTATGTGTGTGCCTGTGGAAGTCAGGACAGCTTGTAGGAGTCAGTTCTTTCCTTAAAATGCATAAGAACTAGAGCTCAAATATTGCTAGGCTTGAACACGAGCCTCAAAAGTGTCTGTCCCTTTTGTGAGAATGTTTCAATCTAGAGGAAATGGCTACACAATAGTCCCCCTTTCTGCTGGCTTTTACACCCTGTGGTCTTTCCTCTATGATGTTTCCAGGCCTTGGCAGGGAAGAGCAGTGTAAATGTGTGATTTCTGTCCTGTTTCTGGCTGAGCCTGGGTCACTGTGCCACAGCAGTCGAGTTATTCTCAGACACTTACTGTTGAGTTGCTGCAATAACCATCTCCCAAAGGAGAAATCTCCT